ACCTTCGAAAATTAACACTTACCTTCATAATTTGTATGGTCAATAATTAACCCATTAGCTGTCGATTGAAAGTTACGTAATTCGCTTTACAATGCCAAAAGTTTTCCACGTAGGCACGCTTATGTGATTCACTAAGGGGTGGGAGAAGGAATGAAGAAACAAATAATCTGAAATAAATAAATATTTCACAAACATTGTCAACGTCCTTTTACTGTATTCCAAAGCCTTTGGAAAAATTTTATGGTTAGCAATGCGCAGAAAAGATCGTTCTTCAGAAAGACGTATGTATACGTCTGGGAAAATAAACACGTTGGCTTAGCGAGACGTTTATATACGTTGTGGCACTTAACAGATAAAAGTCGTGTAGTAGTTTTGGCTTCAAAGTATGTTATTATTCTATTCAATGGATTGTTATTGTATGAGCTGGGGCGATGAAAATTATAATTGAATACAGGTCTTGAATATGGAAACTTTGAGAATCCCTGATTTAGGGTATACTTTAATACCATTAATATATTATTTATTAATGCAATAACTAAAATAAATCAATAAATTATCCATAAATTTCTCTAAAGAAAAGTATAAGAATTTTAATCTGAAAAAATACTGGAAACTTTATTAATTCATTATTCATCGCAATTTGTTAACGAATTATTTGCTTGCGAAGAGATGAATTGAAGTCATAGCTCTCAACATAAAGATAAATGATACATGATGTTTGAATTCAATAAATATTTCAGTTCTTTAGGGATATTTTGAGAAAATTAGCTGTTTAAAAAATATTTCACAGTATTGACTTCTTTTTTGAGATAGCATGTTATTTGTTTATAGTCCAAATACCTTAATAAATTCTTTATTCGGCTAAGTACATCTTAAGGATGTGGTTGTATTCTTAGGGTGTGTTCCACATTTGGAAAAATGAGTGAAAAACCATTTTCTGGATTTGTACTAAGGTTTCAGCCTTAAACGCTAAATTAGCATTTGATTGATCAGTTTTAACCTTATCATTTCACCGAAAAATCAGTGATATAAAACTGTGTAAGAAACATTACTGTTGTCAGAACGTTTGTTCATAGGCCAATTGAGAATATTTTTCCCTAATGCTAATTACTAAGCAGGAATGAGTTTGTTGACAAACTTGGCCACAAAATGTCTTTATTAAATGGAGTGAGAAAATAGACACTTGGAATCAAATTCAAACTGTTAGGACGGATATTTTAAAAGATAGCTCAAAAGCTTCTAAAATTCCTCCGCTACAGAGAACGATATTAGGAACCAACACTGAGGCAAATAATTCGGCATAAGTACGCTTTTTATTTGAAGTTGTTCTTATGGTTGTAGAAATTTTGAAACTGTTTCATTATGGATTCAAGCTTGCATGTTAATTGTTTCCTACTGATGAAAATCTATAACTATTTAACAAAATTCTTGAATAAATTACAATTTGCACCAAATATATCAGTCAATTAATGCTTGGAATACATTCCAAAATTTAACAGTACATATAAGGTATTCAAACGAATTAATCTTATCAATAAATGGATAAGATTAGAATGAAAAAAAAATATTTCTCAGGTTTTCACAAATAGTATATTTTCAAATAAGTAATTTTTTAATAATTATGATGTTTGAAACAACTTTTGTGTTTTAAATTACACTTGTGCATAAACATTAGACATACAAAATAAATTTTAAAACTGGTTCTTGAAAGCAATAAATATCTGTCTCTATAAATACTACATTTGTTCTTTATTTATTCGATAAAGCACTAATTACTTATTGTTTTTTTAAAAAAAAGATTTCTCTTCCAATACAAATTAACTGGAAAACGAATTTTAGTTTAAAAACGTTTTACAAAACTTTTTGATTGTTTTGAATAATTTTAACAACTGATATACAGCTTGAATTTCTTAGGTAATACTGCATATCTATTTTAAATTTTATGTGTTAATATTTCCAAAATATTCCAAACATATTATGCATAATATCAGCGAATTTTTTATTCGGCTATATAGATCACCAGACGTGAATTCAATTGAACCTATTATTAACATTATCGAAATGTCAGAACGTGCATGAAATCTTGCACTAGCCGATCTTTCACCATTATGAGTGGATACAGAGGTACAATTGTTGAACACTTTTAAGAGACGTCAGGCAATTTGTTGTGTGAATGCCTTGTCAAGTTCCTACACTAGTCTATGAAAAAAGAATTAATAAATAACTTTTAAAGCAATAATTTACATTCTTGAAATATTTAACAAATTGATGATTTATACCTGATCATAAGAATGATACAACTGTTACAATTCGTTTTTCCAAATATCCTGAATGGTGAAACATTTAGAAAATCTAATGGAGAAGAAACCTAATTCATAGGATAGGATATTAATCAATAAGGATATTTGTAATAACCACATCACTATTTAAAAAAAAATGTCAAAAAGCTTATATATAAGCTTCGGACAATATTAAGATACAATTTAGAATTCAAAATTTAAGTTAAATTATCACAAAAAAGTATTAAAGCTATACAGAAATATTGTTATAAAAAAGTAAAACGGCAAGCAAATTTGAGTAATGTCATTAAGATGACACAGTACGCTTCCACTGACAAAAATTGATCAAAAATTCAAAAAAAATTATTTTAGTGTAAAGTATTCTTTATGTAAATTTCTGTAATCCCACAAAGTTTCGAAGCTTTAAGTCAAAAAAGAAATTCAGAGTTAAGGGAAATTTATGTTCGTTTTTATTCTCATCACAATGTTAAATAAAAATTTTCAATGGATTTATCTCAGAAAAAAAATAACAAATTTATCTCCATTTAAAAATACCAAAGCTTCTTTTGTATTGTACCAAAGGCTTAGAATCTTACATGTACCATTAGTACATGTAAATAAAATTGGGGAGGATTTTTGTATCCAAGAAATAAATTTTTTCACATTTTTGAGCATTATTCTACACTTAGAATTTACACACTTTTTAAGGAATTTTCTGTAAGCTTTCAGAAAAACAGAGAAAAAATGATTTCACGAATATGAGTCTAGTTAGGTGAAACCTATACCAATTTTTCTTTATTCATAGTTAGACAAACTTGAAATTCAAATTTCACGTGTGTACGTCATTGTAAGAGGAGTAGCATTTTAATGTCCTCTCATAAAATTTAAAACACTTCTTAAAAACTTAAATGATTAGTCTTTTGTAATACTTTAAGCACAGAAACTATTTTACGCAATCCATATACGTTGATTAAAAGAAAAACAATGCTAGAAATAATCAAACCTAAGATACTGATATTAATCGTACCGTATAGCCTTACATTAAAAGGTTAAATCTACCAATGAATATTTGAATGAAACAATCTGGATAATAACAGATTAGGATAATTTCAAGAGGAGCAATTTCTTACACTTAGAAGAATAATTCTGCAAAATCAAACCGTTACAATTGCAATAAAAGCACTTCCATCACCATAAAGTGTATTCATTAAAAATAAAATAATTATAAAATGTCTAATAATATTTCCACATATAAGTATTTACATTAATAATAAACAGAAATATTTAGTATTTTTAGGAATGTTGTTATATTTTTTTCATTATTAAGTTTTTCCTGCTAAACGAGAAAATTGAATGAACACAACTTCCAATTATAGAAAATAATTATAAACAAGTTATCGCTAAGTCTGTCATCAATCGCATGAAACAAACGACCTTAAGTTCTCACGCAGGGTATGTCATACACAAATGTGTTTACATTTTGTTTTTACAGTAAAATTTGTGTATAAAAATTAAATAAGAAGAGAAGAAGGAAATACAGAATATTTATTACATTTTTCACATGTAAATTTAGTTTTTCTGTTCTTTTCATAAGGGTAATCTGTACATTGTTTATACACTCCTTTAATCTCGTCGTGAGTGAATGGGATGTTTTCACTTAATCTTATTATAATTTTTTTTTAATCTGTATCTTTTTTAAAACTAAACATATAGGAGGAAACTTCTCTATTATTAAAGTTACAAAATTTTGGAATTTCTTTTTTTATTTTCTGTTATTGTTCCAGTAATAGTTTTTTTTTCAAAAGTTCATGTAAAACTGGATAAGATGTGTACCAGTTGTCTTTTTTAAATTACGTACTTTCTATATGTTTTTGTGTCTCTAGATATAAAACATTTACTTTCGAAAGTGTCTCCTTCTTCTAATTCTGGATAGATTTTAGAGGATGAAAACATACTTGTTACATTCTTCAGAATATGATTCTTCCTCATCAAAACCGCGAAGAGAATGTCTTCATTCCAAAATAGTGTTGTACTATATCTATAAAATACTGTATCTTTTAAATTACTTAATTATCACATTTTTCATCATAACTAAAATAATTCGCCATAGCATAAGGAAGATTAAAAAGGTGCTCATGCATTCAGAAGTGTAACAGTTATTCACGCGAGTGTATGACATATCCAAAGAGACTGTATCAAAAAATATATATTTATAATTCACATACAAGCTAAGGGCCCTCAAAGGATATGACTTTAAAATTAGCTAAACGAGAATATCTCCATTTCCCCCCAAAATTTAGAAGGATCGTTAAAAAAAGTTAGATGTTGGGTATAACATACTCTGCGCGAGAAGTGAGGGTTTAAAGAAACCTCAGGATTGTAAAAGTAATTATTACTGTTTATAAAAGGGAATTTCATTTCTGAATAGTATGGTAATTTGCCCATAGTGGAAAGCCATTGCTTTCAATTTAGATCATGTGGAAATGGTCGTGAAACTTTTCACATTTTATCACCTTAAGTATAACAAATTACTCATTTTCTAAATATTGCAATAAAATATTTTTTTTTATTCAGCATATAACCCTCATTTATGAACAGTTAATACCAATCGACGTGGAAGCAATTAAAGACATTTCAATTGCTACAACATTGTAAACTTAAAATTTACATTTCTATATTAAATTATTAATGTTTTAGAGTAATTATTTATTTCAATTTCGTGGGCCAGTGGCGCAATGGATAACGCTCCTGACTATGGATCAGGAGATTCCGGGTTAGAATCCTGGCTGGCTTGGAATTTCAAAACTATTCTGAGTTTTATTATTTATTAAAAATCTACTTGCGATTTATACGAAACATTATTGCAGTTCTTTACACAAATATAGTGTTCGTGTAACTTAAGTAAGGGCTCCAACGCACCTCCGATATCGTGTCAGGAATTTTCACATTTAAATCCTGGCAGGCTCAATATTTCAAAAACATTTCAATCGGTACAAAATTGTCATTTTAAATATTTTATTTCAATACTAAAATATAAATATCCTAAAGTACTAATAGATTCCTTACGTGGGGGCCAGTGGCGCATTGGATAACGCGCCTGACTACGGATCAGGAGATTCCAGGTTCGAATCCTGGCCGGCTCGGTGTTTCGGTGGGTGTTTGTCGGTTTTTCTATTTTACAACAAATTATGAAGTTGAATCTTAGATTTTCTATTAAAATTATAGAATCTTAGTATACTTATAACTCTTACATACACGGTCCAGTGGCACAATGAATAACGCGCCTGAATAAGTATAAGGAGTTTCCACACACAAACAGGTTCGTTTCCTAGTTAACTCAGAGTTTAAAAAAGTTTCAACTTTTCTACTTTTTATTCAAATTCTGGCAGTTTCATTTTGCTATTGACGAAAAAATACTGAAGTTTCTAAAACAAATACATTTTTCGTGTTACGTGAGTGAACAGTCTAACGCGCTTCTGATATCATAGCAGGATATTTCAGTGTTTAATCCTGTGTGGCTTTATGTTTTAACAACGAAATTATCATTTAAGCATACCGAAATGTATTATTTACATTAAAATATCCCAGATTGCCACTAATAATTATGAAATATTAGAAAATATTTATTTTATACTTATTTTTGTTGAAGAAATTTGAAGTATGAAAAATTACATTGCAGTATTTAATTATATTGAATTTAAATAATATTGTTACGAATTTTGTGAAAAGAATACTTAAAATAGTGTAAATAATTTATATCTGGATATGTAATAGGTTTATATTACTTTATGTGGCATTTATTGTCTGTTACAGTTGCAATATTTGTAAGCAATGCCATTCCTTACATTATACTTAAATGGAAATTTGGCGAAATCTTGGGGATAGAGCCAAGTTGTGGCATAATTTTATTTAACCATTTTGGTTATTTGGAGACCATGTAGGTGATCAAATTTGGCGACTTCATGGATTCTTCTGGAAATTAGTGGAGAAATAAACTTATATCAAGATTTATATATATGACGCAAGCGGATCTTTCTCGAAGGATCCCTGAAGCCTATACATAGGAAAACACTAGTAGTGCTTTAACTAATGATTAGTGGTCTTGCCTTGAACACTGAAAAGTCCACCAGCTATTAATGACTTCTTAGAACAAACGAGTCTTTGTGAATAATCTCTTGCATACTTGTATTTTAGACACTGATAGTTCTTTCTGAGCACTGAAGAATTGTTTTGTTCTTTGCGACTGATTTGCATAAAATCCTCAAATCCCGATCTAAGTAACAATATTGTATTTAAAATTAAATCTTTTCAGATTTTTAGAATAGATTTTATGCTTCACAAAACATAATTTTTCTCGCTATTATCCCTGATAATATTATTTTTTTAAACTTAATTTGGAGTAACAATATACCTAGATTTCAATGTGAGTATTAACCAATTCTATGATGAATTCTATTCAATAATAAATAAATATTACTTAAGTATACATATTTAATATTAACCACGTATAGTTTGACAATGATCAATACATGTGTTACAGCCAAAAATATTTTATTAAAAGAGAATCAGGTTTTAGTTTTACAATTTGAGAAACGGAGGTTAATCAAACCAAATGATCAGAATAAAAAAAAATCTAACACGTTATAATATCCAAAAAAAATAAGAAAATTTTAAAATTAAGAATATTTTTTTATGCACTTATAAGAAGCCTAATTTTTTTAAACATCTTAATGGCTCTGTTTCTAACCTTCATAACTCTCTTCACAATTCAAGCAACTCTGAGATCATTTCCGGTTCAAGCGGATGCATACCGCTCCGGGTATTTATTCACTCCGGGGATATTATTAAATCTAAATCCGATAAGCTCATTTCGTAGCCGAGATAAGGACATGTAGCTTCTTATCACGCTTTGATGGGCTTATGACTCGATCAGAACTAAGGTGTTAATTACACCTAGCTCTACGTTTCATCCTATTAAATCCTTATTATTAAGAAACGATAAGAATAACTCGATAAGAGATTAATTTTTGATACTGAGGTAGAAATTTATGACTCGACATTTCTCACTCAGAAATAAGACAATAAAACGTAATAAGATTATTTGATTTTACATGGGCATAATGTACTTTTACTTAGGAATATGTAAGATAAATAATTATTAATTAAAATCATTGTGACTTTTTATTGCTAATAATGTGATACATATTTCTTTCTTTTTCTCTGCTTCCACTTTGCTTTAGAGGAATGCATTTTCATTCAAGAATTTTAAAGTAAAAAAAAAAAAAAGATAGTACGAGAGAGAGAGAAAGAGAGTAAACTGAATTTTTAAAATGCATAAGTGATATTAAATATCCTGTTTTATCCTGTTTAACCAAGTTTTACGACTACAGAGGGGAGAAATTTTAAGAAAAAAATGCCGATAATTATTTCAATTGATTGTAACTCTGAAAAAAATGTGAATTTTTCAAAAATCATAGTTGAGCCTCTGTACAGAGGTCTGAGCTATATACAGGCAAAATATTATTATAATAGAAGCCTTTTTCACAAAAGGAGAACGTTTTGAAAAAAGTTATTCTAAGATATTTTCTTGCCGAAATATTGTATTTAAATAATTTTTTTTTGTCAAAATGTCCTTAAAACAGTTTTATACATGTATTCCAATGTAAATGACACTAAATATCATGAAATTTATCCATTAATCTGCTTTCTTAAAATCACGGTTCCGAACGTAGTCGTATACCTTAATACACAAAGATTCATTACACGTTGTGGATATTGAGTGAAATTTCATTTGAATGTTTTTAGCACTGCATTCTGGGAGAAGTAATGCTGTATTTTGTTCACATGCGATACTGCACATTAAGTTCTGTCTCTTGATCGTCCTTCTAAGATTCTGACGAAATTCCCAGCAGATTATTTCCTGGAATATATTTGCTTCCTCAGAAAAATTAACTGTTAGCACATCACTGATTTGAGACGAAGGTTCTGTAATAAACCCAAAGCCTTTTGAAGTCTGAGTTCCTTTTTTTCTAGACATTCTAAGAAAATGAAATAATAATAATAGCACCTAGAAAATCTCCTATTATTGTTAAATCTTAACTTCACATAAAGAATTTAAAATCTTGTTTATTTTTGAAATAAGAATAGATATTTCATTAAATTTTGTGACAAAGAGAAAAATTCAAAAATTCCCTCAGATTCAAAGTTTAAAAATTTTTGAAAACGTTAAAATAAAACAATAAAAATGTAAAATAAATAAGTTAAGCTAAACGAAATGCTAAAAAAAAAGCGTAAATCTATTGCACTAAAGCAGATATACTCTACCTTTTTTTCTGCTAGGCCGCATGCTTATGTGAGCTATTTCCCGCGGACCGCATAAATATGTTAGTTATTTTACGCGGGCCTCAACGTAAAGATAAATGGGGGAGGGGGAGTGAGAAATACTTTAAAATCAAGATAACATTGGAAATTTAAAATGTGAAAATTGATCAAGATGCTGTCTTTTTTTTTATTTATTATCTTTTTTTTTGTCTCTAACTCTAAATCAGAAGCATTTAAAAACCCTCCATCACAATTTCTGCATCCGTAAACGGATTCATGTGATTATCAATAATACAACAAACTTCATAGGATGTCTTCGCTACCTCTTTGATATTCTCACTGACAAAATACTTTGTTGCTGTTGCAAAGATTATTCAAGAAAGCCTATTTATCACCTCTTGAAACTTCGAGGAAAAATGTCATTGAATGATTTTTGTTTATTGGTATTTTTTAAATACAGCACTTTCATGACAAATCGCTTATTTTTCAGATGCAAAATATGAAAGATAGTTAAAAATTATTTCCAACCATAAAATGATCACTACTCCACTCTTGTTTGTTATCACTAACCGTAACAGTTCCAAAAATAAAAAGAATACTAATTTGTACCCATACGACACTGAAAGCGATATATATATGAATTATTGACAAAGAATTTCTCCACCAAATTTTTAATACAATGTTCTTAAATAAGTGAATTTCTCAGAGCAATGGGAAATGACCGGGCCACTTAAAAAGGCACGGTGGGCCACAGGTTGAGTATCGTTGCACTTAAGTCATGACTATACAGTACAACAAAAAACAACAGTTAGCAGCACGAACGGAAAAAATTAAGCTCTTGCTCCAAAACTCAGTGGCTGTCGGTACTTATAAAAACCACAAAGTTATTCAACAGAAAAATTAATTATATACACTGTTCCCTTAAAATAAGTAGTCAAATCGTTTTCTACGGTATGTTATAGAAATACAAACAAAAACATACATAAAATACATAACATACAAAAAATACATAACATACAAACATACATAACATACAAAAAATAAGACATTTACCTTTTGACATTAACTACATTTTCGGAACAAAAATGACAATCTTCGCAATCAGATCAAAATGTCAGCTGAAAAAGAAACTCCTGCTGTAAAACTACTCTCCTGCCTCGCATAAATACACATCATAGAACCCGTGCTCCCATATATCTCGGAAGAGTCAATATAAAAGAGCATTCCTGCTAAGTATTGTCCGAATATTCGCAAAAAGGGTTATTCTATGTATTTTTAAAGTGAGTAGTACTTATAAGTACCGTCGGTATATAAAGGATTATGATATATGATATAGGATAATGAAATATGATTAAGATCAATATTAGAAATTTTGGCTCTTTGGTATTTTATATCGTTTGCTAGTTTTGTCAAGCAAGGAACGTTGCCGAATTCCGTGATATTCAGCAAATTTTAGAAAGAGCTCATCTTAAC